AGCTAGCTTACAGACAGCGAATTAATAGTAACATTACCAAATACTTCGACAAAACGAATAAAGAATATTGGATAGTTGTATGAATAAAGTTGAATTTTCCACCAATATTAAATACAAGTGCTAATGCTTTAAAAGCAAAAAAAGGAAGCAGTGGACCGCCCAGGAGGACACAAATCCAAATCTCAATCTTGAACGTCAAGAAAGAAGGAGAGGAAAGATGGATGAGGGACGTGAAGTTACACGGCCCTTCAGTATAGTGCTCACTCATTTTTAGCATTTCCAGGCCGTCAGGTCACTGTTGATGTCACTTGCTGCGCATTGCGCATCAACAAAAATACCAACAAATTGCATTTATTCGGAGCCTTTCATGTCAGGAGGACGTCCCAAGGTGCTGGATAGTCGAGGATTTGTACTCACATGCGCACTATGTGTAGGAAGCGGCACTAATGTCACTTCCTGCGCATGTATTGTATGCAAAGAAGCACCCGGATGTCACTTCTCAAAGGAAGCGATGTCAGTAGCATCTCTTGTCCAAAACACCCATGAAATTATGTCAACAGTGACCTGACAATCTTCAAGTCATTTCACTTGTATAACGTAACCTCTGAGCTATTTCAGAAGACTGCTTTATAATGAGGTCCCCTACATTTATTTTAATGATTTTTGTTTTCAATTCACACTATAATACAAACCTCGATGGTGAATTAATTTCTAGTAACTTCCCCCCTCCTGTCACATGACCTTATTCTAAACTGACTCTCACAGTCATTCAAATTGCTCATGCTACAAAATTGCTCCCTTTTCTCCACTGACTGTGGGTTTTATTAGATTTACAGAGTAACAAATTTCACACCCGTGTGCAGTGCGTGTGCACACACACACACACACAAGTGCACAACAATTAGATCCCTATAATGTTTTCCACCTAGACCTTCACCTATCTTCAATGTTATTCTAGTGGTGGTGATGGGGAGAAACAACAACTAACAACAAATTGCTTTTGTATAGCGCCTTTCACGTCAGGAGGATGTCCCAAGGCGCAGTACAGTCAAGGGTTTGCACACAAGTTGGGGGTTGGAATCAAGAGGGGTGGGATGGGAGGACGACCAAAGACACGAACAAAGAGGAAGGTCTTGAGACGAGCCTTGAGAGAGGGGGCGAGGCAAAGAGATTCTGGGATGGAGTTCGATGGTGGGGCAGGCAGGGGGCATGGAGCAGGGCATTGCCTGTCGAACGGAGGTAGCAGGTGGATTGGTAAGGTCACGGGGGTAGGGAGGAGTTATAACTGGAACACTTTAGGTAAAAAGGAAAAAGGGTCACACTGGGGTTTGCAGAAGAAAGTCACCCAAGTGTGGAATTTCAAGCCATAGGAATTTACTGAAACACACCTAAGACACAGTGCTACAATTGCACTCAGAGCTCTAAAATTAAAGGGAGCGAGGGAGGGGAACGGTAACATTGAAATTATCATCAATAATCCACAAAACCGTTCATCCATTTTTTAAAACCTCTTCCAAGATTGTTGGGTAACAATCAAGTTAAAGTGATGCCCTTGGTCTCATTTTGTACAAAGCCACAAATTATTTTATGTTTTTGATAAAATAAAATATCCATTGCAAAGACGCGATAATCGAACACTTCAGATAAAGAGAAAAAAGGGTCACATTGCGATCTGACTTTGTTTTTCAATGTGTGCTGATGAACGTGCTGTGCAGTTGGATATTTTGCTTCCCTCCTTCCCAGTAACAGCATCAAGAAATTGCAGGTCAGCACCGATGTGATTTGAATGCAATGCAGAGCTCCCTATATACTCCTTCAGACTTAACCTCAGAAAAGATCCTACTTCAACCCTGTGTCAACTGTATGCTTTCCCATTCTGCAGTCCATCCTTACACCAAGATTCCCAAACAGATGCCAATCAGTCACAAATTTCAGCAATAGTTTACACTGAAATACAAACAGAATGCGAAAATATTCCACAGAGCACAATGGTTTCTGGAACCATGGGAAAATAGTGGTGAAGTATTGGCTGTGGAGGAAAGATGGCCAGAGCAGAAAAGTAGAGACATGAAATGCTGAAATTTGGTTGTAAACAATCCATTCCCCCAGAGAGATTGGAGCAAAGTCTATGATTGGGTATCTATGGAAGGGCTTGATGGACCTTTCTCATTTCATGTTCTTTAATATAATAATAATCCTTGCATTGATTTAGCGCCTTATCACGTCTTCGAGACGTCTAAAAGAGCTTCACAGAATATACTGTAAAATGAATTGACTGTATATTTTGTGGGCAAAATGCCTCTATGATGTGAATCCAGACCTCAAAAATGCAAATTGTACTCAGAAGTTTTAATATACAGTCACTACATTTTACAGTATAGTCTGTGAAGCGCTTTGAGACATCTCGAAGACCTGATTAAGGCGCTATATCAAATGCAAGGATTATTATTATTATTATTCTGGCAGAAGTGGAGTTTTTGTGCAATTGGCTGCTGCGTTCTGCCCACAAAATACGCAGTCAATCCACTTTACAATATATTCTGTGAAGAGATTTGAGATGTCTCAACAGCATGACAAGCCTCTATATCAAATGCAAGGATTATTATTATTATTATTTGGGGAAGATGGGACATAAATTAAACCTAAGTGACTCAAACTCATTATATACAAAAGTGGAGAAAAGTATTACTTTGGAAATAAAATAAGGGAGCAAGAACAGATAACTAAAATGTGATGGTTTTGCTTGTAAAGGGCATGCAGCCCAAATTCCTGAGGTGAATGGTCAATATTTCTGAGCAGTGTGTAATGCAGCCCCCCCACCCCCGCCCATAAGATAAAAACAAGATAATGCATACAAATGTAATGTGCATATTATGCACTCAAAGTACTAATTTTAACCTATTCAAACCTAAACCCCAAAGAGTGTCATCACAGACGTGTAGCATTTATCACAGCGCATCTCTTGAATGTTTATTAAATACCTCCTGCATTGTTACAGTCAGTTCATTAAAACTGCTACACCTGTGACCGGCTAATAAAGATTGATGGAGGTACTGAATAATTACTGATCTGTATTTTATGAACCGCTGATCTCGGCTACTACTTGGTTTAGCTGGGGAGGAGGGAAGCAATCATACATCAGCACCTTGTAGCTGCCATTCATTCACACTCCGATAAGCTGCTGAAGCTCTCAGCGCAGAGTGAAAGTTTCAACACTCTGACGCTCCTGCTCTCCTTGTGTCTCCCGAGTTACTTTCCTTACAGAAATTACTCTTAACAAAATACCCGTTTCCCAGCTTAGAGTTTATGCTCCGAGAACAATTTATGAAAGATCAATGAGAGGTTTAAAGAGCTGATCTTTAATGATCTGTGGCTTTCTCTGGCTTACTCCATGAATTCTGGAAATTAACAGTCTGCATGAATGACATTGATATCATGAGTTTGACAGAGAGCACATGTGCGATTGCACATAAAACACATTTAAAACACCAAGCACTTCTGTATCAACAAATATGTGCGATGAAACATCATTATTAAGACTAAAGTACAATTAAAATATCAAACATCAAGGTTAGTGTTGAATACAAAAAGTGCATTTCCAGTAAGGCAACCACTTAGCTCTTTCAAGAAAAGATTGTGGTGTAAATATAGCAATAAGAAACTGGACTTTCAAACTCAAACCGATTGTTGTATAGTTTTACAAATAAACAGTGTTGCCTTTTTTTAAAAAAAATTAAAATCAATCAGGCGCCAGTTTGTAATTCTGTCAGAAAGAGGTAGGAAATGGAAAAGTAAAACTATACAAACTGCTTGAATCAATCACACCTCGAAATGTACAAGTAGAGATCAAGGTAGAATTAGAGCAAGTCAGAACAGCAGTGCTGTCAGCACAGACTCCACTAACCCTTATCATTCAAAAACAGAAAGGTAATTGTAGCGTTACGAAACACACAAAGAGGGAGCCTCCAGATAAACCTCATCAAATCATTCCAACACAATAATTCTCTCCCGTCATTTCCTACCCACTGCATGATTCAAATAACGAGAGAGGATTCTGCTTCTTTTTTTAATCAGTGTAAAAGTCCTGCCACTGGACATAAATACACCCAACACACAAAAAACCCTAAAGATTTATTCAGTGTCAAAATAAATTGCAACCAGTAACTAAGCTCGCTTCCACATCAGATTAAAACGGTAACATTCGCAATATATCACTTTATGTCCTTAATATAATTTACTTGGTTCATGTAATTTAGTCCCACATTAAACATCTTGTTAGACTATATTTACAGTAAAGTGCTTTCATGAGCTACCGTCTGTAAAAGCCCGACACAGTCCAATTGTCTTCTTAATGAATGAGTTACCAGCTTATTGTACATCGCCTGTCTCTCCCTTAAATTGAGCTAACAGACCTCTTGCAACAGGATAGGGAAGACAGGCTTGTGTTTTGACCTCCTCTTAGTGCCCTTTAATACAGTAGTAAGTAAGAGCCATCAAAAGCACCTCTTACTTACTCTAAGTGTCACACGTCCAGCTGTCATTGATCTAACAATATGTTCTCACAGTGATGCTTGTGATAATTTCTCAAATGCACAGGCAATTAATTCAAATGCAAATCTCAAGAAACACCCCCAAAACAGCTTTATCTTTCTGTAAATATTTCTTCCCTGTCTAACATTCCGTGCTCCCCTCTTCCTCTCTTTTCGTGTAAATATACAACAAAAAAACAACCCATTAAAACATCCCTAGCAAAAAACAAAGGTTAATTTCTTGGACTGATTAAATTCTGTATAGAAGCAGCAGCTTTTTATCAAGTTAAACAATTAATTTGCATCAAGAGATAATCAGAGGCCACATAATTTAATTACAAAAATAATCACAGCCATGTGTTTCTGCGTATAATGGAACACTTCTCACAGAATAATGAGCCTCGTGAAATTATCCCCAAAACCACGTTTGAAGTACTGTGTGCTATTTTAAAACAAGGCTGGAGGACTTACCTCTGTGCGAGTCTGCAGCCGCTTGTTCAGCTCATATATCCGATAGTCTGGCTGTACCACGTACGGCGTGTGCCTCCTATAAAACGGTCCAAAAGGAGAGGAATAGAAAGGGTCATGAGGTGCGCTGGACATCTTGGCTGCTTGCAGAGAATCAAGCTACACGCACTGTAACATCAACATCCATACGGTGCACATGGGCTTCAGGCTACAGTGGAGGCAACCGGCACAACACACTGGGATAATGCTCGGGGAGCCCTCTGCTGCAAGAGGAAAGGACCGGATGGATCGCTCTAGGCAGAAAAACTTGGTTTTAAAAATTCTGTTTGCGAAAGGGTCATTTCCTGTCCGCTCCGAGGACTGGCAAAAAAAAAAAAAAAAAAAAATATATAATTCTTCAAACTGACAGAAGGGTCTGAGGTTTGGTTTTAATTTTTCCCAGCGAGGACCCCTCAGGAACCTGGCAGCAAAGACTTGTTAGCATAGAGGTGGTTGAACAGCTGCCTGAATCAAAACATCCCTCTGCAAAGGAATCGTTCCACTGCAGTGCTGCATTTTTCCAACGCTGAACGCTTCAAACAATGCGTTTTCTTCGCTTACTCTGAAAGAGCGTCCTGCGCGGACGGGGCATTTGTTGTGCGCTCGCAGAAAGCCGCGGAAATCAACCGAACCGAGAAACTTCTTTGATTACGTTTGCAAATCGAAGAAAGATTTCGAAATAACACGCTTCTATGTTTCGAGCATATGTGCTGTATAGGTGAAGTAAAAAAAAAAAAAAAACGAATCAAACAAACGCGTCTCGTCAAACCGCCGACAGGAATGAGATTTTTAAGCGTGGATGTTGTTTTTTACCAAAATAAAACTGAACAAAATGATTTCCTTCTTATAAATATTATTTTTTCTTAAAAAAAAAGGAGGTGAGGTTACTGGCAGTAACGGGGAACGTCTTGGGGCTCTGGAATCGTGTCCCACGCTTCTCATCCTTTCAGTAGATGACTTTGCCAAAGTGAACGAAACAGTTAACAGAATAATGAATCATGAATAAACAGTTAAACTATGTTTCAGTAGTTTTTTGTATTGCGTTGCTGATAACACATGCTGATGTACTGACATGTGTTAACTCCTTGTGTTACATACTTGAAGTAGTCATTGCCAAGGGGAGCCTCCCTGAATGCCCCCCCCCACCAACTCCCCTTTTCCCGCTGAGAAGGTCATATGGCCACAAGGGGGCTTGACCTTCTGTTTACATGTGAGTGCACATATTACAAAAAGAACAATGACATACTGAGACGCTGGCTCCAATTACTTCTTGAATCAGGTTATACCAGTCAACTTTACTGTGCAACACAGAATGGGAGAATGCACGTTTGAACAGATACAAGGGTTCAAGTCCCCGAGTGGTAAAACAAATAATTCATGCGTATTATGTCATTTTAATAGGGATGCAATAGAACTTGACTGACCGGACACATTTCTTTAAGTGAGAGCTGTTTTCCTGCAGACAGTTTACTTCAGCAATATATCTTCAGTAGAACACTCCAATGTATTTTTGAGAACTCTTGAATGCACTGCGTTTATAGCTTTTTCTCCACAATTGCTTATCCCAATTACAAACAATTTTATCCTAATACAGGAGACTCCAATCAAGGTAACTGAGTATAGGTCTCTCCTTTTGTCAGTTTCTTTATGAGAGAAGTTAATTATTTTTGATGCTTGCCTGACTTCTTTGCTCTTGTTTAAAATGCACAGCAATGTGAGTTCCAGAATTGCTTTCATACAAAAAAGACAAAGTTTTAAGATATGGCTGTGGTTGTGCTTCTCCTTCAACCTGTGAAGCGACTGCACAAAATCACAATGGATTATTTGCTTTAAGAATCTCTTTGGTTTGTGCATGGGGAGTGATATTGATGATACTTTGATGAGTTCCAAGTACTGATTTTTTTTTAATTGCCCGATATTTGAGAGATGCAGAAGGGAATCCCTCCTCTTCCAAACTACCCTGCCCTCCCCCCCCCCCCCCCCCCCACACACACACACACAACAGCTCCAGGGAGAGAAAGCGCAATCCAGTTATTTTGTGTCAGTCTGACACATTCAGAAACCCATCACCATGTTTAAGAGTATCCAAATCAGACAAAGTTCTGCCTATATAAACCACTTACACATCATGTAGCTTGCGTTTGGAGTGGAATGCACACTCTCCCCTTGGAGTATTAGGCACAAGTTGGCAAGAGGTAAGGCTTGGGGATTACTGAGTGTACATTGATGCACTGCTGGATTTTAACCAGCTAAAGCCTCATAGCTTGCTATTCTGGCAAGCTTCCCACTGCTTGTCCAGCTAGGACCAACTGACCTGTTAGGCTTTGGGCTTGCAGGATTAATGGTAGCTGAGAGGGAAGAATCCTTGTGCCCAGTGACTTGTCTGCCCCTCCAATTTTCCTGGTGAGCCAGGCTGTCTGCACTTAGGAACGGGACTTCTGAGACCACCACAGAGGGCTGACTTAATTCCGATGTTCTGGTGCCAAGCACATTGCCTTGGAGCCAGCTCAACTCCAAGAAGACCCCGCTTACCTCCCCCTCACCCAGATAAATAGTCACATGTAATAGCTTAGCATTGCAGTGGATTCACTTTACATTCTCTTACAAGGTTTAGCTGAACGCATCAATTTCCATTTACATTGTCAGCCAGACTATATGTCTCACAAGTGGATAGTATGAAAGATCACCTTTTCAGTTGTTGCAGTACATGTCCTGAGGTCTAACAATTAACCCTTTGAGCAAATAAATATTATCAGATCAACTGTAGTCTCCTGCTTTATCACCAATGAACTTCAGGAGGCAGAAAGCATTACTTGCCAAACAGATTTGCCAGCTAAAAATAATTGTTTATTTGTCAGATGCAATACGATTTGTAAAAAAAGTATCAGGCTAATACTAAATAAGCACAAAGACAAACATTTACAAGTAACTGAAGAGATGAATTCATTCATGACACATTTCCTTGTTACAGTTCTTTCTCCCACAAAATATACAGCCAAATTTACTTTACAGTATATTCTGTGAAGCGCTTTGAAATGCCTCGAAGATGTGATAAGGCGCTATATCAAATACAAGGTTTATTATTATTATGTAGTGGATTGTAACCTAAGTTCTTTTTCATATAAAGTTATTTTTGAATTTGCAGTGTCTGCCTATACACTGAATTTGCAATGCAAATTCAAGAAAGCTCAGTCCAGACTTGTAGTGCTACTTGATAACAGATGTATCAGTGATTTCAATCACATTGGGAAACTGTGAGCTTTCAGTCACAGTCTTGTTACTTAAAAGTGATACGGCACAGAAACAAGTCATTCAGCTCAACCCATCCATACCTATGTTTATACTCCACACAAACTCTCCAACCCCTCCAATTCCCTGTCTTATACCCCTCTATTCGCTTCTCTCTCATTTATGCTTCAGATTTAAGAAACATATACAGGAAATAATGAGAATATTCTGTTTAAGCTGTACAACCCTTCAATCAGAGTTCTCTCTTTGAAGGTGACCCTTTAGCAAATTTAATTTGGATAAAATAATATTTAACTGTGTCTGCCTATACACTGAATACTGTCCTCTGCAATAAGACTCTCAATTCTTCTTTTGTACATTTGTGTTATTTGCCATACACTGTGATCCTGGAAGCCCAGCACCACCTTTCCATTTGCAGACATTATCTGTGCCCTTCCAAGGAGGGTGGTTGCGAGCCCTGCTTCACATATGTGAATGCATGATGTTACTACACTTTAAACACAGTGACTACATTTTACAGTAAATCCTGAATGGGGCTATATCAAACGCAAGGGTTTATTTATTTTGGGCCCACTGACAAAGTGAGATACGAACACAAGGATAAGAAGGATCCACAAGTGTAAAGAGTACCCAATTTCAGCTCCAGGGGGAACGTAGCTAGATTGCTCCACATTGCCACCTTACAGTGAGTCTTCAACACTACCTGTTTCATACTAGGTTGCATTATATTGCAGATCTGATATAATGTTTTTTGATCATTCTCAAAGGGTCTCACATCACCAAATGTTGGAAGCACTCCATAAGCCAATTATCCATCTGGTGCTTGGAGACAGGCCAGCCCAATGTCTTGTCCCCATAGGGGACTGTAAGACATTTTGAAACTGTTTTATTCACAGAGGAACAATGTGGCTTGCTGTCAACAACATATTGAAATCCAGATTCCTTTCCAGATTTAATGAAGTCAGACAAAAAACAGAAATATTTTTCTATTCTTACATAATTCTAAAAGCATACTAAGTGGAATCCAAATGTCCTTATTATGTTGGCAAGCAATGAAACGTTGAATACCAGTATATGCAACTCACTGATTTTCTCAGCAGACACCCATTCCATTCATTTAAGCAGTTCAATTTATATACAATTCAAGTTATATACAGTATTTGGATGTTTTTTTTCCCATCCATTTATGAAGATTAGGGTGACAAAACTGAAGAATTAATAATTTTATCAGCATTGAGCAATCGAGGTCAGATTTGGAGTAGCAAAATAAATCTCCCTTTTCTTTGCCCCCAAACAACTGTCATAATCCCAACCTTAGAATAACTGTCCCCACTTGCAATTGTGTGATTTTCCCCAGTTTCCATACTGGCCATCATTATGACTTCTCTGAATGAAGTTACTGAATGAGCTTTTTTTTGGTTTGCAGGGTATCTGACATAGGCAGAAACTCATCACCATGCTTAATAACAATAATAACTTGCATTTATATAATGCTGCTCACACAGGGTAGCGTCCCACAGCGCTGAAGAGATTCCAAACCAAATCCCACATATGCATGGTTTCAGTTTGCTTGGCATTGAGTAAACATACTCTCTCTCTGGAGGAATGCATCATGCTTTACCTATCACAGAGAATTTAAGTACAATTTACAAGACCGAAGGCTTTGGCACCCCAGAGGAATCACCGGGATACTGCTATTGTTTAACCAGCTAAAACCATACAGCTTGCCTTTGGAAACATTGGCAAGCTTCCCACTGCTTGTTCAGCTTCCCGCTGCTTGACTAGTTGGGA